ATGATCGGCAAATGATCGGCAAATGATCGGCAAAATGATCAACAAATGTGATAATATGAAGTATGTCCACCCTGCTGGTAGGATTATGGTAAGGATTAGGGTTAGGTAACACGGCGATTGTTCTAATTATTCTGGAGACAATATTTTGTTATATCTAGAGATGTTAACGGTTCGATTCGGTCTAGTTCAATAATTTTATGAACCGGTTTGTAACTGAAGTTAGATCGAAAAAATTTATAAAACTTTATTTAAAAGAATACAAAATTTTATTATTATAAAACAAAAAATTTATAATTACTATTTATTCCAAAATTTTTTTCCGTAACCCAATTTCAAATTACGTAACAGCTGACTAAACCCCGGGATACGAGGATATTTGCCAAAATCATTAAAAATGTAAAACTGACTAAAGTAAAATACTGGTATTTTCGAACTTTAAGTATTGTACTCCCGGTCAAAATTAAAAAAATACTTATTTAGTTAAACGCGTAAAAACGCGTGGATAATCATTTGATAATCTATTTAAGATCGAAGTCCGTCGATCCGATCTCAGTCTCACCCCTAGTTATACCCTAATAGTGTATGAAACCGGCAAAATAAATTCAGATTTTTTTCATGGCGATGTTAGAGTAGTTGCATATCTTTACCTGGTGCTATATTAACTAATTTTTTTTTTCAAATTTTAAAAGGTCGCGTTTTTTTTTACACTTCTGCAATAATAAAATTTTAAAAACGGGTACATTTACTTTCGCGATATCGACATTTTCTTTTTTGAAAAAAAAGTATAAAATCAAACTTTTATTCAACTTTAGCATGCATCAACCGAAATTGAATAAATTATTTGCATAAACCTAAATAAGTTTTGCTTAAAACCTTAGTTTTCTCATTATCGTGAATACTTAAATCAAGCTTTTTATATGTTATCCAAAATGCTTCGTATAATGCTGTCTTCCAGAACTTACTATTAACTTCGGCAAATTTTTTACTTCCAATATACACTTCGACAAGGATGTTATTATCATTTTGATAAATACAATAATATTCTGGCTGTGCGTTAAAAGCTTTCATACTTGCATCATTTACTTTGGTTGAATGTTCGCCGAATACCTTCCAGCGGGTGTAAGGGATGGATTGATAACGTTGTTTGGTGTGCGTATTATCATCTTTAGTTTTAAAAGTTTCGGGATCCGTGAAATGTCCCGAGAAGGTTTTTTCCAAAATTTCGTTTTCGTTCGTTCCATCTTTATTGTTGATGATGGCTATAAGTAATTTCTCGAATATGTCTTGAAAAATCGGATTGATCAAATTAAATGCTTCATTTGATCCATATTTTGTGTAAATGGTTCCGATCCGTGCTTTGATAAGGTTTACATATAAATCGTCCGTAAAATCCCTTGCATGTGAAGAAGAACTTGAGTCGTGATTTAATGATTTCACAATCCTCGCAAGTACCCGATCTGTTAAACAAAACCGAATAACTGTTTGAAGTATCTCATCGTCACGACTATGATTTTGGATTGATGAAATTCTACTAACGCCAAGTTGAAGTACCCACCATCCAGTTTCTATCATTTTCTCCAGCTCTCGGTTATTCTCAAGATTATTCATATCGAATATACTATATCTTGTGATGTCTTATATTAGATGCAAGAATAATTATAATTATTAATAAAAACAAAAGAATCTCTGACAAAAATAAATTGTCTTGTTTAAATTACCATTTCTATATGTATCTGCTATCATCGTGTAATTTCTCGCATTTATTGTACATGGTACGTCGACTTTTTGTCGTTTATCGTAAAAATTTCCTTTATCTTGATTATTAATTGCACCATCTCTCTTCCTTATTTTAGATCTCATAATTTTCAACTGAGAAAATTCGCTTTGTGTTCGTGTTGCTGAAGCTTGTCCTTGTGAAAAGATTATTGATGTTTGAATCGGTTGAACTTGACTTTCTTGACTATTTTCTAAATTAGCTGTGAATGTCTTTCCTTGTGTCGATAACTTTGTTTCTGCTGTCATTAATAACCAAGACAATAATTGATCTATATGTGGTTCATTTAGTGCTTTCGTTAATGAGGGGAAAACACTTGGCTTTAGATTCACCTTTTCTAATAATTTATGAAAGATAGCATTTGGATTGCTGTTGTGGCTTTTGATTTGTTGTCTTGGCTGTGCTTGTAACTCACTTGAAGATGATTCTTGAGTATTGGGTTCAATTTCACCCGCAAGACTAGAAAAAAAATATGGAATGTCTATATCCATTTTATTTGTGTGAACAGTTTAAAACAAAAAAAAAAAAAATTATTAGGACTGACATGACGTGATAAAATTCCGATTGGCGGATCAAGCAGTATAAAAAAATTTAATTTTTCCGAAATTTTTGTTTGCGCTTAGGTTCATTCACTTTTCCTTTGATTCTCTCTCTATTCGCATTCTTTATACCATGAACGTACCCGGCTATTTGAAAATTTCTGACTTGTTACGTCAAAATGAAGTAAAGGTAAAGAGTAAAGGAAAAGCCAATGCGGTTGATCATGCAACACTTTTGTTAAAACACGCAAACAAAGTTCAAGAAGAATGGAAGACAAATTTATTGAATTTCAAAGAAATTCTTCAAAAAAGTCGAAGGTGATTGAAATTTCTTTTGATATATATACATATATATATATATTCTTTTAATAATCAAATTTTTCAATTAACATGTAGTATTCAAAACGAATTTCGAGGTTTGTTTTACCTAATTTTTATGAAGGAAATCACATCTTTTTTTTATTTGAAACTTTCTCTCGATAACGTTAAATCTAATTAGATGATGAATTATTGGAAGATGAATATGGATCTGATCTTATATATAACAACCTTCCAACTAAATTTTACTATGATGACTATTCCGACAGTGATTCTGGTTTACATGAGGAAGATCTCGACTTTGACCGAGATAAGAATATACCGTATGACAAGGAATGGTTACTAGGGTATGTATTTATTTTTATTTATGTGTTTCATTTGTCTTTTGTGCTAAATTTAATTACGATCATGATGGGAAATCCAGACAGTGTCGATTACATATTGCCTCATTCTGTGATGCAGATGGAGAGATAACTCCCGAAAAGTTATGTACAAGCATTTTTACAATATTAAGATCAGATATGGGAGGTTAGTATGTTTGATTTTAAATTTTGTTTTAGTTTATTTTTTTATAGTTATTTATATTAAGATGTAATATTTCCAGATGACGATATTCAAACAGAATTAGTCGATCTTATTGGCTTCGATAACCTAAATTTTGTTACCACACTGGTAACTAAACGATCCACAATCCTTGAAAATATTATTAGTAAATCACTATATGTAGAGATCCCACCAGTAAGTCTAATTTATTTATTAAAAATTAAAACTGAAATTCGATCTTTATTGCGTATGTTTTATTTAATACTGATCCCATTTTATATAGGATTCACAGAAGCATTCCTCTGTTACTATAATTAAACCTAAAGAAAAAAATAAATTAGAGAATGAGAGGATAACGAAGCGTTTACGGAAGGAACAGAAAAAATCGGCAAAACAAAAAAGCACAGGTGCCTATTCTTACTTTTTTTTTTTTTTTTTTTTTTTTAAAGATATATTGATTTTTGAATTTGTTTTTTAAAAATCAAAATTAATATCGATAATAAATCCATTTTTGCAAAGAGGAAGAAGATTTGACCTCAGCAAATATTTTAGGGTTTAGTCTTGAAAAATTACGCGCCATTCGCGAACAATCATTGCGTAACGCAAGAGATACTCCGTTACGTTCCAAAAGGGTTAGTTTTTCATCAATCAAGATCTTCTTTAACAAATGTTTGATCAATTATTTATCATATTATTTTTATATTTAACATTCATATTATATAGATTAACCCATCTGAAAATTATAAACACGTCTTTGGAAATGCCCAGACGGGTAGCGTACTTTCCGTGTTTGGAACCACATATTCTCTACCAGTCGGCACTCAACGTGAAGAATTTGATGCAAGTAATTAATCTAATGATAAAGATTTATTAGATTATTTATAGTTAAACTTTAATTATTTATATAGGATCACGAAGAAATAATCATTCCAATTACTAGGCGAGCTCCACAGATGGAAAATGAACAGCTAATTCATCTGAATGGAACCGATAATCTTTGTAAGGGTTCGTTTAAGGCAAGCGTTTACATTCTATTCCTTTAAATAAGAAGAATCGCTTTTTAACTTTAATTTGATTCAATAGTATAAAACATTGAATCGTGTACAATCACTTGTTTACCCTGTTGCATATAAAAAAAACGACAATTTATTAATTTGTGCTCCTACCGGAGCGGTATGTATTAGTATTTTTCACATATTTTAAGCTGAACTACAATTATCTAACGAATTTATTAAATATAGGGTAAAACAGATATAGCCATTCTTACAATACTACGAACATTAAAGAGCTTTTGTTTTCCCGAACCGTTGGTCCAACAGGAGCCTCAAGATTTTTTAATCGATAAAAATGAATTTAAAATAGTGTATATTGCTCCTATGAAAGCTCTTGCTGCCGAAATTGTAAAAAAGCTTGGCGATCGATTAAAGTGGATTGATGTGCAAGTTAGAGAACTTACAGGTATCTTAATTAATTATTCCGTTAATTACACAGTATTATTTATTTGCGACACTAATTCTATCTGAATAATCTAGGAGACATGCAACTGACTAAGTCTGAAATTTCAAATACACAAATCATCGTTACAACCCCCGAAAAATGGGATGTAATTACAAGAAAAAGCACAGGAGACGTCGAGCTTTCTCAAGTATAGTTTTTTCTTAATTATTATTATTTTCAAGTAATATCAACATTCTGCTTATAATTACTTTCTATAAATTAACGTTATGTGCAGAAAGTGAAACTTCTTATTATTGATGAAATTCATTTATTACATGAGGATCGGGGTGCTGTTCTTGAAAGTTTAGTCGCACGCACCCGTCGTCAGGTATGATATAGTTTTAAGCAGTGCATTATATTTGTTCACTTACGATATTTGGTTAGTAAATGATTTTACAAATTCATTCTAGATTGAATCAAGTCAAAAAATGATCCGTATTGTAGGCCTTTCCGCTACGTTACCCAATTATGTCGATGTAGCTCGATTTTTAGGGTATTTATTTTTTGCGATGTATAACTTTAATAGAATAAAAAAATTTATTTAAACTTCTTATATAGAGTTGATCTAAAAAATGGTGCCGAGGGATTATTTTATTTTGACGGTGGTTTTAGACCTGTACCGTTAGAACAACATTTTATTGGTGTTAAGGGTAAGCCCGGTTCGATTATTTCTAATAACAACCTCAATATGGTTTGCTGGAAGAAAGTAAGATTTTAACAAGAATTTGAGTATTTTTATTGAAATATCATTTGAATATTTTTAACATTTTTTTTTTATCGTTATATAGGTTTTGGATCTCGTCAGAGAAAAACATCAAGTGATGATTTTTGTTCATTCGCGTAAAGATACTGTTAGGACGGCAAAAGTACTACATGAGTTTGCATCAAATGATGGAAATTTAGGTAATAACTAATTTGATTTCTTGTTAGAAAGAAAATTATTTCACAAGCTAAATTCCTATTTTCATTAATAAAATATTAGATTTATTTGATATGTCTACTCTCGATGGGTATAGTCTTAAAAAGCGAGATGTTATGAAATCAAGAAATAAAGAATTAAAAGAATTATTTCAATATGGTCTTGGTATTCATCATGCCGGCATGTTGAGAGCTGATCGATCAATGACAGAACGTTTGTTTTCCGAAGGATTTATAAAGGTATATTTACCTTCCAAAATAATGATTAAACTATCTAACTTGTTATATCATAGTAATCGTATTATAATTTTTTTCCTTAGGTCTTGTGTTGTACTGCGACGTTAGCTTGGGGTGTAAATTTGCCAGCTTATGCAGTAATAATTAAGGGAACGCAAGTATATAATTCTCAAAAGGGTAGATTTGATGATTTATCAATTTTAGATGTAATGCAGATTTTTGGCAGAGCAGGTCGTCCACAGGTTTGTTAATTTTAAATGATTTTAGTTTATTTTTTTTTTTTAATCGTCTTCATTATTTTTTTTTTTAACATCTAATCCTAATCAATTAGTATGAAACACATGGTGTTGGCTATATTTTGACAACACATGACAAACTATCACACTACGTGTCTGCAATGACACAACAACATCCTATTGAATCAAAGTAAATCATCTTAACATGAACTTGTATTATGATTGGTGAATTCCTATTCTAATTTATTTTTGGTTAATACTATAGATTTATAGATAAAATGGTTGATAATTTGAATGCAGAGATTTCTCTCGGTACAGTGACAAATGTTGATGAAGGAGTTCGATGGCTGGGTTATACATATCTATTTGTACGTATGAAAATGAACCCACTTGTATATGGAATGAATTATTCGGAACGAGAAAATGATCCAGAGTTAGGTAAACAACGACGTGAACTTATTGTGAAGGCTGCAAGTACACTTCATAAAATTGGAATGATCAAGTTCTACGAAGATACTGATTATTTCGAAATCCAAGATATTGG